AATCAAAGGGCTAAAGCAGTTTAAATTTTGGAAAGGTGGCAGTTAATAGAAAAAGGTCCAGTAAATAAACTAAAATTTTTTTGGATTGAAAAATTCGACAACATTTTTGTTGTTCAAAAAAGAAAGACATTGTAAGAAAAACTATGCTATAACTTTATTTTTTAGACACTATTTTATAAATGTGATGGTATCAAAATAAAATTGCTCATCTATATATACATAAAATACATACTTAGAAAATATATTGCCATTTAAACGCTTTCTAATAAATTTTTTACAATTTCTTTTATTTTTATTTTTTATAAATAAAAGATATTAAAATCTGTAAAATTCTATTTAGTCAATTTCAATCAGTAGAATCATATATGACTACATTTGTCATTGACATTTTGCCATAACAAAATTTTAAGCTTCATGAGAGAACGTACAGTTTTGCAACAAATTTTTGAACTATTCGCAGTTAAATAAAATTTATGCTGAGATGCCTTTGTGAGTGACATATGTATGCGTATAAGTTGTCATATAAGCGCAAATATTAAATCCGATTTGAATTATAATCGTATGAGGAATAGAAATAGCGGATGTGACTGACAACAAACACTGATAACATTTGACAATTTCAACGTTGCAATTTGTTATAGAATGCATATCACTTGATTTATATGATTTTTTTTATATTACTCCTAAAATGGTTTTTAAAATTAAAACTTATTACAAACATAGTTAAAAATAAGTTTTTAAATTGAAAAAAATATTATGAAAAGAAATATTTTTATTTTATTTAAATTATGACAATGAAATATTCAGTATATCTGCCATTTCTCTTAAAAGCACTATGTGTGAATTTTAAGTGAATCATTGAAAACTTTTTAAAGTAAAGTACTTCTATATTTATTTATAAAAACCTAATATTCTATAGATCCAATTTAATTTCAATTAATTCAAGAATGGTATAAATATGGTAAAGTTTTATTTTCAAACTTAATACTAAAATTTAAATTAATACATTTTTTTAAAATCTTCTATAATCTCAAGAAGCATTATTAAATTTTAAAATTTTTACTTAAATACTAAATATATTTAATTTCAGAAAACTAATAAGATAAAAAAATATTATCAAAATACACAATATATTTGTACAAAATATATGACCAAATAATTTGTAACCCGTTTACACGATTCTCTACTTATTGCGGTTTATATAATTCGTTTTTGTTTTATATGCGAACGAAACAGTAATAAATATATATATTTTTATACATTTATATGTACATTTTTATATATATGTATGATTTTTTTATATACCACAAATTGCTGACATTTGTGTTTTATTTTTGCAATTGCACTTTGAGAAACTTTTACTGTTTTGGACAGTTTCAAAGAATTATGCAATTTTAATTTACAATTTTGTGCAAAAGATTTAAGTTAAGGTCAAGCATTTATAAACCACAAAAATAATTAACCTGTCAAAAATTGCAACTCAAAAAGAAAGTAAAGTTTAACAAACAACAACGTAAAACGAAATTTTTCAAAGCAAATAGTTCAACAAATAAATATTACTCATACGTCAAGTGGTACCGTTATTCTAAAAAACAATCTTTAAGTAAAAAACAAATTTCATATATAACTTTGAAGAGAAATAAAACTTAAAAAAATAAAATTCAAATAAAAGAAACTCGTAAATTTTGTTAGTAAAAAAAAGCTTGAATATTTCGCAATAATTTCATAGATAAAAAAACATTGTTATGTATGGTTTGATATTGAACTAAAAAAAAATTAACAAAAAATTAAAGTAAAATAAAATATAATATATAAAAAACCAATATAAAATTAAAACGTGACTTTTCTTAATGTTAGCATAAATAAGTGTGTATGTATTTTGTTTAATTAGCCATAAAATCGAGATTGTTCCGTCTTCTGGTGTTTTAGATATCAAATTGTATTCTACTTTCCATAATGTTCTTGATTTATTCTATTTAATTCTTTTCAAAATATTTCGACTTATTTATGATTTCTCTTTATCACTGAATTTATCATACATCCATTGGCAATTTTTTAAAACATTATTCATGTGAGCTAAAATAAATTATTATAGAAACGGAGATAAAGCAAATTATCACGTTTTAAGACAATAGACATCTAGGAACTATATCCTGTGTGTTTATTTACCATATTATCATACCAGTTAAAGTTAATCAAAAATATATATACGTATAGGTGTAGCAATTATAAATAATTGCAAGCCACAACATAAAATTTAATATTATAACACAATTATATACAGATAATACAATAAAATAGAACCAGATTAATTACTATTAGTACATTTTAAGCCTTTAAAGTCTTTTATGTTTTTCATGGTCTAACAGTTGATAATTTTTTAACACATTTCTAAGATGTGATATTAGCAAGTTCAAGTATCACACTGCTGATTTTGATGCCACCCATCTACCGCACAAAGAAAGTAAGATACTGATAATCCCGACAACAAAATTTTAGGATATCTTGTCAGGATTATTGCTTCTCATTTTTTCCAATCATGTAAAAAGCCATTATTTATTTGATATATACTGACATTCGTAGAATAATTTTGTTAGTATATATGCGATAATTTTTTTGATTATACATTAGAAAATATATAATCTAAAAATTTTGTGCGCGGAATATTGAAAAATTATTTTAAGTGTTTTATTCAGATGATAGACTTTACAATGGATATGAGCTAGAAGTCCAAAGTATTGAGTGTATACTGTACCGATTCAAAAATGAAAGTGACAATATACTTAGGAATGCAATAATAAATATTTTACAAACTACTACAACTGATTTTAAAGAATAGAATATTATAAAGTTTCATGCAGACAATTTAAATTTATTACATTTCCTACTAAACCGAAAGTAGGTCAAAGAAAAGTAAAAGTGAAGTATGAGAATAGCAATTCATTATATTAACTTTCAATTAAAATTTAATAACTTAACTTTTTTTGGCTTTTATTAGCCAATTTTTAAAATCTATAAAAGAGCTTCATAATGTAACACCATTTACTTAGCACAGCACTCACACAATTTACGAATTTTTATACTTGACAACTCCAACCAAACCTACATCTTACTCGTATCAACATTATGGGAAGAAAATAAAGTTAAGACAACGCAGCATCATCATCATCATCATTACCATCATCTTTGTCATTCCCATCTTAGTCAACGGCATTATTTGATGCATGAAAGTTTACAGACACATATTCACATTTCGTAACTTTTAAAGGTGCGTTGGTAGGAGGAAAGTCGTAAAAGTGACAAATAACAAAATTTTCATCGGAAAAACTTTTCACTTAAATCAATATTGATGATCAATGAAGTGATGATGAGTATGTGTAAACTACATACCAAAGTGATAAGCATGCAAACCGTGAAATTGCAGAAAATATCTAGATAATTTAACACAGAAAGTCATACTTTGCCACACGCACACAATCTCATATAAATTTACACTTACAAACACAAACACAAACACACAGAAACGATTTATTATGATAATTGAATACTTCGATTTCACT